TTTAACTTTTTATCGATCGACATTGAATTTCACAAAATAATCTTACATAGACATAGTTAGTCATAAAGCAAGTTTTTAAAGATGAGTTAGAAAATAAAAGTGTGAGGTAAGTTTTTATTTCATTTTAGTTTATATAAGAAGGAAACATTTCTTAACTTTACAATATTTAAGGTATTATTACACTTATAGTAGACATATTGTTTTTGATTGTCTATATATGTCATTTCATTGTGCAATAATGGTGTTATATTATCGATGACGGGGAGATAATAGTTATTATCTTTATTAAAACAATTTGAATGCATTGTTTAAAGGGATATTGGAAATAACTTGGTGTGCAAAAGTGAATGTTTGCAAGTAAAAATGTTGTAAATGACATTTCTTGACTTCTAATTACATTTATGATATATTTAGACGGATATATTCTTGTAACAACCTGCAATTTATACTAAAATGAAAAAAAAATGGATTATCATGATAGGATTATAGTTCCTATGTTTCAATAGATTTAATGGAGATAAAGACGGAACTATTTCATTGTGTTTATTCCAACATTCATGTATATAGGTATGATGTTTCATTTGTAATTCTGGTTGGATGTTGTTTTATATCTTATCGTTTGTGGTTTTAATTCAATTTTTTTTTCTATATGCATGTAAAAGTAAAGATATTAATCACTTAGTTCATTTATGTGATTTTTAGTTTAAAGCAACTATTTGCACAGGATTTATTTGTTTTACACAGTTCAATTTAGGAGAAAAAAACCGACATGGTTATAACATACAAATAATTACACCATTACTAACACAATTCTATATTAATATTATTGTAATGGTTAGAAAATACATCAAATAACACAAATTACAAACTTAATCCCAATGTTTTATTTTTTTTTTAGAATTTAACCTGTGACGTCACTTTTTGTGGCGTTGATATATTCTATTGTGCTGTATTTGTATTCTGTCGTAAATTAATTTTAGGTGTTTGTTGTTATTCTGTGGTTTACAGGTAGAAATGTACTATTATTTATTTATGTAGTTCTCTGTCCTGAATGTTCTTGCATTTATTTGTACTGTATTCCTGTCACATAATGTTGTCATTTTAGCGGTATTTTTAACAGTGCCATATAAGCGGGAGGTTTGGCTAGCAATTAAACCAGGTTCAACCCACCATTTGTTTCTTAAAATGTCCTGTACCAAGTCAGGAATATGGCAGTTGTTATCAAATAGTCCGTTTCTATGTATGTTGCCGTTTGTTTTTGTACCAGTTCAGTGTTTCTGTTACAAGTGTTACAATCAAAATCAATGTATCAAGAACATTGTTAGAGGTCGCCTTTATCCAACTTTGTGCAAACACTTAATTTAGGCGAAACTAATCTGGTGAAACCTTTTAGCGAAAGCATTTTAATGGTTTGATGGTTTCTATCTATGTTTTATTAATTCAGTGGTGTCTTACTTTTCCCATATTTGTCAACACTCTGCTTTTCATCTTGAACTCATAACGCGTTTAGATTTTGACAGATAAGTATTATTCAGATTGCCGTACAAAATTATGGGCGTTGAATATTTGTTTACCTCTGTTTCAAAACTACTGATTATAGCTCTCCTTTTCAATTCATCCGTGTTTTGTTCTGTAGAAACAATTAATTATCTGTCTCTTCTATTTTGTCGAAATCCGTAATGAGTAAAACAATTCTGGAAAGAATTAGATTTAGGCGGGATATTCCTATGAAAAGCGTGATTGAACCGATAACAGTTACTGTTAGTTCTCGAAAAAAGTGTATATGTTTCTGTGTGTTTAAAGCTTATTACTGTTTGATCTTTGACACATTTGTGATATTCTAATGCAATTTCCGTTTTTGAATTTTCCTCGGAGATCAATATTTTTGTGATTCAACTTTTTCCTATGTTAAAAACATAACTTTTGCAACAATCTTTAAAACGGAATCAAACTAAACATTTTCTCATATATGATCGCCAAACACCTAATCAGTCGGTTCAAAAACTACAAGAAAATGTGTAAAAATAGTTTTCTATCTTCTATGTCCACAACCTCTTTAAAATCAGTCATTTGGAACAAAAATCTAACTCTTTCTGTAAATCCTCATTATTTGACTCTAAACAAAAACCTTATCAATAGAATAAAGCAATACAATAAAAAGGTCGGAAAAGATACCATATAGATTGACTCACTCACATTCGGAATAACGGTAGTACTGATGGAATAACGAAAAAACAATGTGCAAACCTATTGTCCCTACGGTCCCGAATGTACAGGGCTTAACATATGCGACAACCGCATAAACTCTCAACAGAGCAAGAACGAGTACGTCGATGCGGTTAGCAGACAGCTAAACATATCTTTTGTATAAGGTGACATACATTCACATCGAATTGATTAACTCATTCGTGTTGATGACCGCGAGTTATATTACGTACAGGGGAATTATTTTGCGGTAGGAGCATATTCCTGTTAATGAGGTTGTATATTTTGTACAAACACGCGCGTAACGTTATTGACAAGTGCAAACACTTTACGAGGTTACAGATGGTATGCTGTTCAAAATCACTTTTTTGTTTGGCCCTTTGTAATGTTAAATGATGAGTATTTTGTAGATGAAACGCATGTCTGACGTACACTATTAAAAGTCTGATACCTTTGACGATTTGTTTTTTTACTGCAATGGGATGATAATACTAGAGTTATGTGAAAACTAAAACTATCTATCAATCTAATAGAGAACTGTATGTTATTAAACAGAGCTTTTTGTTTGGGTGTTGAAATTTATTTCAAGTTACTGATATATATGCAAATCTAATGACCTTGCCAAGAGGCATTGTTAGTGAAAATTTTGTATGAATTTTTTTTCAAATAAGTACATTAAAAAGTCGATCAGAAAATTAATGTCATGATTAAAAAGTCCAGTATTCAGACAATATGATATTTGGAGTATTTGTTATGGTTCTTCACAAAGTAATAATGTTTATGCCATTTTGAAAAAGAACTTGCGCCTACGATTTCAAATTATGTATAAAATCGCATTGTTTCATTAAACGATACAACCTATATTGTAATTGGAAAGGAAGAATAGAAAGGTAGGGAGCTGAATAATCAAACGTTTAATATTGGGATAAAATGGTTATAATTTATTATTGAAGATTTCGGAGTAGATCTTTTTTTAATTTTGATGAAATCACATCCGGTTGATATCGCTAGTATAGTTTACATATTATATTTTTATTACCGCAATTTAGACAATATCGTTCTTGGTAAAAAGTGAAAATACCATAGGAAAATCAAAACCCAAAGGCCTATAGAAAACAAAATGGCAGAAAATAGGTAAAACACACTAGACAGAACAAAACTAAAGATTTAGATAAAGAGCAACATTTACCCCCCCCCCCCCCCCCCCCCCCCCCAAAAAAAAAAATGCAGGGTTAGTAGTTGTTGCTCCACGGATGGCACTGTCGTGTTTTTCAGGTCAATATACTTTGAGAAGTCAAATTTGATGAGTAAGCATATTCTGTTTAACGGTGAACATATTGAAATAAGCTTTGAAGCTATGTTACAATTAATGTTATGTTGAAAGAAGTACTAGTAATACAATAATATCACGGCCCCGTGAATGAGGAATACAGTTTGCAATAATAACACAGTGATATATAAAACAAAGTATGTATAAATGATTAAGTAGCAAATGACGTGACCACATTAGATGAAGTGTTATTGGTCTAACTCACATTGGTTAGCCATGGATTGTCCAAAAAGAAGTCAACAAGAATAAAAGCATAGTTGTTCCCCATACGAGTACCGATTGTTGATTGACGTCACAACACGTAACGAATGTATGGTCAATAAACAAACCAAGCATTGTTATCTTAAATTTGTTTGAATAAGGGTTATTGTCTTAAAAGTATATTTTCCACTTCCTTAAGAATGTTCGCTGCTTTGTTTCAATATAACAAGCTTTAAAAAGACAGTTATACATTGATAGTATATAAATAAGGGAACATAAAAGCAGAAGAAAATGAAAGATCCATATCCTTGCATGCGATATAAGCCATTGCCAATTTGTCGGGAAATAATTTGCTCTAAATTTTCCATATATCTTCCATACATTCAACATAAGCATATTTTTCTTTCAATAAACTATAAAATAAAATAGCAAGGATTTTATGAAATTATCTTAACTATAATTTTTTTTATATAATAATATTATGAAAAGAAAAGTAGGTGTTAGCAGGAAAAATTGTTGATGACACTACATAGATGAAACCAGAGGATTTCGAATACCCAAAAATAAAATAAAAAACAAGACTAGCGAACATCCTTACAATTATTTAATAAGATATGTGTATCTAAGTTGGCCATTCTTTCTGAGAAAAACGTAGGATTAGTTGGTTAAGTTATGGTATCTTTAGAAATTTTTAACAGAACTGGTCTGATGCAAATGCTTTTTTACATTTCGTCCCCGAGTATATCACCAGCCCAGTAATCAGTTATACTCATGTGCTGACATGAAATATCAGTTCAAACTGTTAATTATATGTCCTCAATGCTCTTCAACTATGTACTCTGTTTGGCCTTTTTATTTTTTTTTGTATTCGAGCGTCACTGATGAGTCTTTTGTCGACGTGTCTGGTGTAGAACATTTCAATCATTGTATCTATGATGAGATTATATTCGAACTAAAAAAATCATTCAACATACTAAGGTGCTTTTACTTTAAGGCATGGAAGGTCTATGTAAGGTCTTGCACACCGTTAAGATATTTTTGTTTGCAATGCTCTTCATCTTTCCTAATTGACATGACATTTTAACTGTTAAGTTTTCAGCGCCACCGTTAAGTTGTATGTAGAGGAAACAGCGTCGTGTCTGCTAACAGTTAAGTCTGGTCTTTTTGGGTCAACCGGTCTTTATGTTAAAGTACGTCTCTAATAAAACGGTTTTCTGAACATATTTCACACACACAGTAATTTTGTATTTTCTTTTACAGGTAGGAGATGGACAAAGACTATCTAAATCAAGTAATTATATTATAGTAACTGAAAATAATATTATTCGTATTTAGCATGAAACGATATCATTGCTTCATTAAAATCATATTTATATAGTATTCCTAATTCAGATTTTACTTAACATTGGTTTTACGCAGTAATGTTACTGCAATTTCGATTAGATTTGGTCAGGGGGAGGTAACCCCGCAAGGACCGCATTAAATATTCATATATTCATTAATGACAGAGAGCCCAATAAGCTGCGTTTATCGATAAAAATGTATGATAACAAATTGCATACATGCATTTGAAATAAAAACGAGAGTGATTTATTTACTGAAACGCGAATATGTATGTGTGTGCCTTAATTATATTGTAAACGGTTGCAATGGCTGTCTTTCTTGCCGAGATTTGTCAGCTTGTAGGAACCCGCCTCTTTTTGTAGATCAACCAATCAGAAGACGCTTGCCGTCGGAAAGATGCTTGTGGTTTGCAGAAGTTGCAGAATAGAAAGCACCTTGCAGCGGAAATTATTTTTGGTCTTTACAATGAAAATAACTTTGTGCGTAAATTTTTTGTTAAATGGTTTAAAAAATGTAGTACTTTTTTATAAATGTTTAAAGGTGCTTGGAGTTTTTCATAATCTTAGTAAAGGTTAACATTGTTCCCTAAAACATACTAATTACTTGAAATACAGGAATTGCAAATATATGTGGATGTTTTTTATATGCCCCGCACAAGGCAACGGGGGAATTAAGTGTTACCCTTGACTGTCTGTTAAGCTCAATTTTAGTTTCCGCACTCTAACTTTAGTTTGTCTCATGCAAATCTGATGAAACTCGTACACAATGCTAAGAACCACAACCAGCAGATACAGTTTTGGTTCTGAGTCATGTACCGTTCTAGAGTTATGCCCCTGTGTAACTTGGAAAATTGCAAAGCTTGAGCGGGGGCATTCGTGTCCTCAGACATTCTTCTTTTATTGTAGAGTGATTGTTGTTCCAAAATGATCTCAATAGATATGGTTCCTGTTATCAAATTTTCAAACACATGACTTTTTATACGCTTGTCGAAGACAGGACATATTAATTGTCTACCAATGTCCATCTGTCTGTCAGCACTTTGAAAGATAACTTAAATCTTATGTAATTTGATCACAACATCAAGATTTTTATTTTTGAAAAAAAATGCCCGTGTCATTCCAAAGTTACAGGAGGGTAGGAATGGGGCACCCCACGTAACGAATATTTGTTTAAATAACGTTGAAGATATACATTTTATTCCATTTGATGTCAAGTAGCTACAACCTGAGATATGAGGACAAAAAATGAAAACAGTAGCGAAAAAATAAATGTTAGACGCTTGACGATAAAGAGCATTCATATACCCTCCTTTAAAAGTTTAAATTGTGGTAATTTTTCACACATGCACTAACACCACTATGCTCAATACATGTACTCTATCATGTTTCCATTATGGTTGCATGGTTACGTGCTCAACAGCTGTCCAAGAAATCGATATTGAAAGTATGGGAATTGCGATCAATACATATTACCGGCCACCCAGAGTTATTTGTTCTATTTTTAAAACATGTACAATATCAGTTGAAATTCTTGGAATTCCGGATGACGTAATTGAATCTGATTGGCTAAGATAGAACAGTGATAAAGGGATTTTCCACTTTCTATTTTGGAAACACCAATAGTTTTTGTTACTAGTCCGTCGGGTATATTGGGTTTCAAGTTTTGATTGCCCGAGGCGTAAATGCTCTAGTCCTGGGCGTCGGGCTATTGGATTTTTCAATCCTTGATAAGCAAAAAAGCACGTTTACTGTTTGTAGTAAACGCTCGTGAACGCAGATTGTCATCGAATCCTGGATACACTGACCTTACATATCAAATGATAAGGTACATCATAATTAAATGACCAACTGGTCATTTTCGATTGACATATTGACGATTAAAGTTAATGATATGAAACCTCTTTAATTAATTGAAAATTGCCATTTGATTAGGTACTTTCCGTTTTGAATTTTACTCGGAGTTCAGAATTTTTGTGATTTTACTTTTTAATCATGGTATATATCTTTTTTCTGCACAAATAAACAGTTCAAACATGTCCTTCTTTTATTCCAATAATTAAATCATCGCCAACATCCAGCAGTTTTCACATCTCAGACTGGCTCAAATATAACAAAATTATTTGACTGCATGAACCAAAACTGACCACATTTGCACTTTATTATGTAAATCTACATAGCCGCATTGCAAATCAAGTAATATGTTTATGTCAGGATGAGTTGTATAATACAAATGACAGCAATATTGGAAAACCATGACTACAAAATTTTGTTTGCATCAATTTAGAGTGCCAGCGTGTCCTCTTTGTATTCAAAATATTGGATCGTAAACAAATTTCGGTAGTTTTGATACCTCAGGCTGACTCGTATAACAAAATTAATTGTCCGCATAAACCAAAACTAACCATATTTGAACTTTATTATGTAAATCTTATAGTCGCATAGTAAATCAGTAATATTTTTATGTCAGGATGGATTGCATAATACAAATGACAGCGATATTGGAACACAATGACTACAAAGTTTTGTTTGCATCAAAATAGAGTGCCAGCGTGTCCTCTTTTTATTAAAAATATTGAATCATAAAAAATTCAGTAGTATTGATACCTCAGGCTGCCTCGTATAACAACATTAGTTGACTGCATGAACCAAAACTGACCATATTTGCACTTTATTTAATAGATATATATAGCCCCATAGTAAATCAGTAATATATCTATGTCAAGATGAATTGTAAAAAAAAGATGACAGCAATATTGGAACACAATAACTACACAATTTTTTCCGCATCAATTTAGAGTGCCAGCATTTCCTCTCTGTATCCATTATAATGAACCGTCACTAAAATCAGTAGTTTGGGATGTTTTGTATTTAAAACGAAACTATTTAACGGCATCATCCAAGACTGACATGACTGATTTCATTTGTACTTTACAATGAAAAGTATGAGAAGTTCTCTTCTTGGAATAGTATAATGTTCGTATATCATGTCGGTTGTTTAATTTTGTTTGTAGCTAAACGTCCAGGGGCAAATATTTCATTCATGTTCAGAACGAGTATTTTTTTTTCGGACGTCCTAGATATCATTTATAATCGGTAAGGACAAGTCTTTCTAAATTGACGAGATGGTTACAGGTACATAACTATACAACACCTTATTAATAACCCTTCACTGTACAATTTTCGTTTGAACATTTGGCAAAAACAGAATCGTAAATCAAAGGCAAACAAGGTGAATTACGATGCAAAGTTCATGTATTAAATGCATAGAGTTAAATTTAGGAAGGGACTGTTAAAAATGGGGAACGAAGCAACGTAAACCATGATGTTTATATTCCATCATATACAAATATTTTTTCGATGCGTTGGATAACCTTTCTTTTATGACAGCTGCATGTATATTTGTCGATCAAAAGTGTGTCATTTTATAGCCAATATTTAATGTGTATAAGAATATGAAATGAAAAAGAATGTTTTAATGTGTTTAATATCTATACAGAGTCTAACGAGTATAGTAATTTGTCCATAGGTCTGGTCTGGAGAAGACTTGCCGATAGGTCTGCAGTATTCCTAAAAAAAATGCAGACATAGGTCTGGTCTACCAACGACGAAGTTAACTTGATTGTCTGCTTAAAATTTCTCCAGTTAACTGAAGAATCTGGTAAAATCATTCCTGACGTTAGAGATGAGTTGGTACGCTCAGATAATGTTCAAGGTTCTAGAAAGGGTTTATATGCATTTTCGCGACGTTTCCGTCATAGTGGAAATATTTTTGTAAGTCGATATTTATACATGTAACTTTAAAAACGAAAATATTGAAAATCCGCTACTTAAAGTTATTGGAACTGATTTTTTTTGCAATTAATAAAAATTAATAATTCGAATTAAAAGTGTTTTTGAATTGTTTTGGTTTTAAACACATATACGTAAAATATAAAGATAAAAGTCGTTTTAATAAAATAAAAATAAAATAAATGTACAAATGTACACGAACAAAATTGGAAGTGTATTTCATAATTTACACAATGAGTTAACGCGAAAAGAAAACGCGCGTTTACTTTCAAGTGCACGTAAATATACACTTGTGAAATCTGTAGTAAACGCCCGTTTACTTTTAAGTGCACGTAAAAGTAAACTTGTGAAATCTGAAGTTAACGCCCGTTTACTACTGACTAAACGGACACAGAGTAAACGCGCGTTTACTCGGGTAGACATTAGAAATTTCCATTTTGACCGCGTTAACGTAATTATAGTAAACGCGCGTTTACTAGTAAACGCGAAAATTGAAGTTAACTAACGAAATATGTGCACGCGGCGTTAACGTGCGTTTACTTTATGTAATAATTGGTATGCACCCAACTGTAGGTATTGTGACTCAATTCAACTGTTATTAGGATAAATACTTCCTTGTCGAAAAAATTGCATTAATATTTGTTTATGATCAAGGATTCAGAAAAACAGTGTTTGTTTGTTTATTTTCTTTAGAAAATTTGAAACCAAGAGTGAAGGTCTTTGAAATATAAATCCATGGATTTTCTTTCTTGATGGAGTAAACTGGTATATCATGTATATGTTGTATCAAATATCTTAATACAAGATACACATTTCATATCAATTTTCAACCCCCTTCCTTGTATGAACACTTTGATGACATATATGACACATAATGAACAGCATTTCTTATAAAAATAAGAAAAAAATGTATGATTGCCAATGTGACAACTCTCCACAAGAGACCAAATGACACAGAAATTTTAAATCAACTGTAGTTCACCGTACGGCCTGCAACAACGAGTAAAACCATACCGCTTAGTCCTGCTTATAGTATGTCCACTTTGTACTTTTTTATTGATATTGGTTGGGCATAAAAATAATGAGGTGATATGATTGAAAGGATCTCTAAAAAAATATTATAAAGACAAAGGTGTTATTGTTAAGTTGGTCAAGGTGT